AATGGAAAAAGGATGACACTATCAAGTGTTCAGATCAAGTCAAGGCTTTGCTGTGGTTGTTCAACAATAGGAAGGAAAATATCAATTAAAAAAATCAAAACAACAAGAGCTTCAGGTCTCAAATCACAACGGGCTGCACAACTGAATTTCTCATGATGGACAAAGGTGGGTGGGGCAAAGTCGTGAATCGTTCAGATTTAGTTTAGGATTTTAGGCCTTCACTGCAGCAGTTCATCAGTATCAAGCCAGGTCCTAATCCTGTGATTAATAGCAAGGAGGCCTGGGGTAAATTTCTGATTAGGCTCAGAGCTCTAACTCGAAATCTCCGTGACTAAGGTCAGCAACAGAAATATTTGCGGATTGGCCCGGGCAGTGTAATCCTTCCTGTTGGAACTTGGAACTTTCTAGGCAAGAACCACTTGTGTGGGGCTTAGTGCTTTCCCCAGGTCCCTAAGAAGACAATGGTAAATGTCTCAACATCCTTTTTAATAATTTGCAATGTTTCTGAAATCCATACGCTCAGCAGTATGAATACAAAGTAAAACACCAATTAAAACTTTAGATACTATCATTTTAATTTTACCTTCTAAACTGGAGATTTCCTTATTTCCACAAATGGTATGAAATAAAAACAATAGGTAAAATATGATTTTTTATTGTAACGGATGGTTACTACGTGTACACAAGTGGTAAACAGAAAACACTGCTGGTGATTTTAAAAGTACAATAGTTCAGATTATTTATCTGAATTACTGTGTACAATATATGCAGTCAGACACAAATGTGACCTTTTCACTTGAAGTTGTTTGAATTCTAATTCCTAACCACTTACTTAATATCTCCACCGTGGGTTGGAATCATTGAGTTCAAGTCGGTCAGGTAGCCTTTAGGATCAACAACAGTTTGTCCACTGACTGAATCGGACACCTCAAATAAAGCAAACAATTATACTTACAATGTCCAGGGCAAAGATTAAAAAAAAAGTCTATATTTTAGGTTCTATAGTTCTGTTCAATAATCCAGTTACGTTATTTTAGCAATATTGTAAAAGAAACATCTTGTGTTATACTGCGTACATTTAGTCACTTCATTAACTAGATTGTAAGTCACCTACTTGGCTCAGCCTCATGTCCATCAAGGTGTTTCGGGCTTGACCAATTTTTCTCATGTCCAATTCTCCTGATCCAGGTGTCATAAGGCCTGGTGTCATTCCACCTGGGTATGGTGTATTCAAGCCACCAGGGTAAGGCGAGGTCAAACCAGAAAATTGCTACAATTAAAACATCACTTATCAAATTCTGCACTGAAATATCAAACGATACATAACAGTAGTAAGAAATCCATTCTTTCTTTACAAATTACACCAAAATTAGTTTTTAATTGATTTAGTAGAAAAAGTAAAATAAAATTAGGTGTGTTACATTATCCCACCTCAGACCATCAGATTCAATTTCAAATAAATTTATTTTGAAAATTAAAAGTATCTAACTGAAAGCTATTAAAAACTCTTAGAAGTTAAACAATTCATTGACAAAACTGTCAACTGATAAACCATCAGTGGAAACAAAATGATGTTTGGTACAGGATAACTTACTTTCAGTTTATTTTTCTAACACAAATCCTGTTCACTCATTTAAAGAACAATCTCACATTTATATTCAGGATTTATTCTGCTTTTTATATAGTTAGAAGAGATGAGAATACAGAATTTCAAAATAGGAGTAGGATCGCCTGTTGAACCAGTTCCACCATTCAATACAATCATCTTGTACTCAAATTCAAATTCTGCCGCCAAATTTTAGATTCCTCAGACACCTAAAATATGTTTATCTTAGCTTTAAATATACTCAATGATGAGCATTCAGAATACCTTCGGGGTAGTAAATTCCAAAAATTCAAAATCCTTAGATAAAGGAGAAATTTCTTCAAAGCCTTAAAATGACCCTGTCCTCATCAGGGACTTGTGTACTCTTGTTATTTCCCAGCTCCCTTCCCCCTCCCCAGTCCTGATGAAGGGTCTCGGCCCAAAATATCAATTTTCCTGCTCCTTTGATGCTGCCTGGCCAGCTGTGTTCCTCCAGCTCCACACTATATTGACATTGCCAAATTTTATTCCTTGGAGTTTCCGTGGAGACAATGTTTACTTTAGCTAATCTCTTAATTTTAATATAATTGTAAAAGCCCTTGCAATATATTTCTATGTTCCTGATTAGTTTACTTTCATTTCTTGTTTTTAAATAAACTTTTTGTTGGCTCTTTGCTGGTTTCTAAAACATTCCCAATCATCTGGCATATTTTTATTATTTGCAATGTTATAACCCTTCTCTTTTAATTTAATACTACAGTTAATGTCTTTAGTAAGTCACAGTTGGATCTTTCAGGTTTATTTGAATAGAATTTTTTTCAAACGTTTCTTCAAGTTTTCCCATTGTTTATTTACCTCACACCTTTTAGTAAACTTACCCAATCAAACTTCGCTAGCTCTGCCCACATACCCATTTAATTGGCTTTAAAGATTTTAGTTTGTATACTCTGTTTCTTCCAGTCACATACTGGTTATCAGCACTTGCATTGTTACCCTGCACTACTGCTTTACCCTTTTTACAATTTTTGAAATCTCCACTCAGAGTTAGAGACTTGTAAGCACGAAAACAGACCCTTCGGTCCAACTCGTCTGAGCCGTCCAGTCATCCCAATCTGGTCTAGTCCCATTTGCCAGCATTTAGCCCATACACTGGATCCGAAACATTAACTCTGTTTTTTCCCTTCACAGATGCTGCCAGAACTGCTGAGCTTTTCCAGCAACTTTGTTTTTGTTCGCTCTAAATGCATCCTATTTATATACCCATCCAGATCCCTTTTAAACGTTGTGATTGCAGTTGCCTCCACCACTTCCGCTTGCAGCTCATTCCATATATGCACCACCCTCTGTGTGAAAAAAAGTTAGCTCTCAGGTCCTTTTTAAGTCTTTTCCCTCTCACCTTAACCTATACCCTCTAGTGCTGGACTCCACCACTCTAGGGAAGAGACCTTGGCTATTCACCCTATCCATGCCTCATGATTTGAAAACCTCTATAAAAGGTCACCCCCTCAGCCTCCGACACTCCAGGCAAAAAAACCCGAGCCTATTCATTCTCTCCCCACAACTCAAACCCTCCAGTCCGGGCAACATCCTTGCAAGTCTTTTCTGCTCCCTCTCAAAATTTACCAACATCTTTCTTATAAAAGGGAGACCAGAATTGTACACAATATTCTAAAAGAGGCCTCACCAATGTCCTGTACAGCCGCAACATGAAATCCCAACTCCTACTGTCACTGTTCTGACCAATGAAATGCAAGTATGCCAAACGCCTTCTTCACTACCCTGTCTACCAGTGACTCCACTTTCAAGGAACTATGCACCTACACCCATAAGTCTCTTTGTTCAGCAACACTCCCCAGGATCCTACCATTAACTGTACAAGTCCTGCCCTGGTGTGCCTCACCATGAACTCATCTTCCAAATATTTAATTTAAATTCTTCTATATGGACCTAGTTATACGACTCACCAAAATACTGATCAGTGCCCTATTATGAAATGCATTTCACCCACGCCAATCATTGAGCCATGTATTTAACTCTCTCATCTTCTTTACCTTATGCCAAATTACTTGAGATTCAGGTAGTAATTCAGAGATCATCATCTTGTGGTTCTGCTTTTCAATTTAGCCTCTAGCTGTTCATACTCCCTCGACGGAACCTCTGTCAGTACATCATTGGTACCAACGTGCGTAACAACTTAATCCTTATTCTTCCTCCATAAATTCCTCTCCAGTGTAGGAGTGATGTCCTTATCTTTGGCACTGAGATTACAGGGACCTACAGTCAGAAAATCATATCTATCCCAGTAAATATACTGTTCCCTACTATACTGCATTCTTTCATGCACCCCACTTTCATGGCTCCCTGCCCAAGGCTGCTATGGTCAGTTTGTTCATCCACCCTGCAGTTCCTGTTCTCATCCACACAAGGTTCAAGAACCTCAAACTTTTTGGACAATTGCAAGGACAATATGTATCAACCAGAACAGATCAATGGGATCTCGGTTTAAACGCTTCATACAAAGCACAGCATCTTAAAAAAAATTGTAGCACTCCTTCAATGCAACACAAACTCCAGCCTTTTGCACGTGCTCAAGCCTTGCTTGGCCTTGAACTCAAGATTGGCCAACTCAGAGACACAAGTACTGCTGGTTGAGTTGGCTGACAGATATCCAAATATCTCAAACGTTATACTTGAAATTTACAAATTACTACTCTCATTTGCATCTGCTACTGCGAAAGATTATCAGTGTTAACCAGAATAACTGCTGCATATCCTACAATGGGCACATGACCCAGTGTTACTCAAACAAGTCACTAGTTATAACATATTAGATTTTTCAAAAATATCTGCAGGTTTATATTGGAGTTTAAAGTTATCACGGTATAGATAAGGAGTGCTCTGAATGGCACTATGCTCCGAAGTTCCTTCCACAATTACAACTAATTCAATAAAAATAATCGACAGATGTCAAAACTGCTAAAACTTCCACTGCCATCTGGTGGTTAAAGCAAAATTATAGAAAAAAAATCACTGTCAGACTGTTGTATGAAAATGCATTCACAAAATCCAATAGGCTCAAATATACTTTTACAGTTAATGCACTATTTTCACATTTTTGTTAAGAGTCACGCAGCACAGAAACAGACCCTTCAGTCCAACCAATCCATTCCTACCATAACCACAAACTAAACTAGTCCCACCTGCCTGCTCTGGGACCACATTTCTCCAAACTTCTCTTATTCATTTACTTATCCAAATGTCTTCTGAATATTGTCACTGTACCACTACTTCCTCTGGAAGTTCATCCCATAGATAAACCACTGTGTAAAAAAGTTACCCACATGTCCGTTTTAAAATCTTTCTCCTGTCACTCTAAAAATATGCCCCCTAGTCTTGAAAGCCCCCACCATAGAGTTCAGACACCTGCCACTCACCTTATCTTTACCCCTCATGATTTTCAAGTCCCAGCCTATCCAGCCTTTCCCTAGAACTCAAACCTTCAATTCCTGGCAACATCCTGGTAATTTTTTTCTGAACTCTCTCCAGCTTGATAATATCCTTCCTATAACAGGGCGACCAGAAATACAGAGAGCACTCCAGAAAAGGCCTCACCAATGTCCTGTATAACCTCCCAACTCCTATTCTCAAAAAGTATGAAAAATGAAAGCAAGCGTGCTAAACGCCTTCCTATCCACACTGCCTACATGTGACACAAACTTCAGAGAATTATGCACCTGAACCCGTAGGTCTTCCTGTTCTGCAACCCTAACCAAGGCCCCACTTTTAACTATAAGTCCTGCCCTTGTTTGTTTCACCAAAATGCAATATCTCACACTTATCCAAATTAAATTCCATCTGCCACTCCTCAGCTCATTGACCCAATCGATCAAGATCTCTTTGTAATCTTAGATAACCTTCTTCTTTGTTCACTATACCACCAATTTTGGTGTCGTCTGCAAACTTACTAACCATGTCTTCAATATTCTCGTCTATATAAACAACAAAGTGGACCCAGCACTGATCTTTGTGGAACACTCCTGGTAACAGGCCTTCAGTCCGAAAAACAACCCTTTACCACCACGCTGTCTCCTGCCGTTAAGCCAATTTCGTATCCAATTGGTAAGCTCATCCTCAATCGCATGGGATCTAACTTTGCTAATTAGTCCAGCCAGTTAAAATATGTAACCTCGTGGTTCGGCATAACCCCTACTCTACCATTACTACTAAGCCAGGAGATCAAGCCTGGTTCAACAAAAATTGCAGGAGGGTATGTCAGGAGCAGAACCAGACTTCTAAAAGTGAGGTGTCAACTTGGTGAGGATACTACACATGCTTACATGCCAACAGTGGAAGCAGCATGCAACCTCTACTATCTCGAAGGACAAGGACACAGATGCAATAGGAATACTGCAAATTCTCCTCCAAGTCTCACTCTGACTTGGAGCTATGTCACTGTTCACTGTCACTGGAACTTGTTTCTTAACAACATCGTGGTTGCCCCATAGCCCACAGACTGCAACAGTTTAAGAAGGGAGCTCACCACCACCTTCTCCAGGGGAATTAGGGATGGTCAACAGATGCTTGTCCAGCCATCTACTCCCACATCTCATGAATGAAAATACATAAATATATAAAGGTAATAACCAAATAGTATGTATTTTGCATGAAAAATGCTGTTTCGCTAGTCAGTTTCCCTAGTCCTAGTGGGACGCACCAATAATGTTTCCAATATATCCATTATTTTATGAGACTTACATTTGAACTGACATCTGTAGAACAGTGAGCCATCTCTAATTATCTGTGATTGGATTTTTTAGTGCAAAAAAAGTCAATTAAACAAGAATAATCAGTAATGCTGTCACAACATTAACCAATAAATTTACTTTTTTTCTTAAGATCGTTGAGCTCTAAATATTCCAATTCATCTGTATTGTGATAGCGTTCTGATCCGAGCTGATACTATTGCTGGCCAAGTCAGTGCCCCAACAAAAATTTCATTCAATAGATCACAGATTGAAACTGAAATAAAAACAATGAGGTGGCCTCTCACCGAAATGCCAGTATTTCCAAAATCTTTCTTTTCCAATACTCACAACAGAGAGAATTCCGTCTCTTTCACATCTGTAGAGCTTAATTTGACAGTGGCTTCAATTCCCTGCCTTGAGAATCTGACAGCCTTCTCCTGGAGCCTTAATACAACTGAATTCAACACTTTTTCAAATTCAAATAACCCTTCAAGGAGTGTAACAAACACTTCTGGTCTGGAACTTCAAAATGAAACTCCTTACACCAAGCTAATCTGCTGTTTTCACCGTAGCAAACTGTCCCCTTTCACCAGGAGCAACTGTTTCAAACATCCAGCATCAGCCAGGATTTCTGCAAAACCCACCAAACTAAAACCCAAAAGCTTTTTTGCAAGCTGTATGTATTTCCCCTAATCAAAAATAAAAATTTTGACCTTCTAAAGTGGAAGCCTATTGCACAACTATTGACTTTGTCTTCTTGTAAAAATTCTTCCAACAAAAATAAATCATACCATATACTATGAACTCTCTTTCATACTGTTTTTAAAAGAAATCACCACGGCTACAGAAACACTTACAAGTTATTCATTAAACCATTTTGGACACAGTCCAAAATCCAGATATACCAGGGCAAAACCAAACGCTTAAAATAAATGACAATATATATAAATCACACGTTATATCACAGTAGTTACATATAGTTACATACTGACCGTCTGTCTGGGATCTACGGATGTATGTTGTTCTCCAGTTTGTAAATGTTTGGCAAAGAAACTATCTGGTACAGGTGTCAGTTTTTCATAGCGAGGATTTCGTTGACGTTTGTTACGAGCATCTCCAACTTCAGGGATACTTAACCATTCTTCTTCTGTAACTTCTGAAAGTTTTCTCTGAAGAGAATTTTTTCAAAAAGAAAGTGTATCAAAATATTCCTAAAATAGCAATATAATTTACCTACAAATCAATCTATAACAGCGCATTATACCCCAAACACATTTACAAGCAGGTAGAACACAGGTGCACACTCAAATGTGGTGAAACTGCACACCTAAATTTCAGCTATGTCTCCTCAGGTACAGACAAAGGTGGCAGGTCTAACTAAGACATTACTGCACCACCCAAGGTTACAAAACTCAGTCTCTTAACTAACATGTTGCATTATACAGAGAAGTCAATGAAACGGGTAAAATGGGGATAAAAAGCCTTACAGGCAGAGTTTTATGCTAAAAAGACAAGAGGAAATTACCTTCAGATCAGAAAATTGTTGCTGGATTTTTGGACGTTCCATACGGTACTTTTCAATTTCTTCTTTTTCCCGTTGTTCCCTGTTCAATGAGATGATCATTTTAAATTTAAAATGAACACACATCGCAAAATACTTGCCTTCAACTGTTAACATTAAATACCTTCTTGAACAAATTTCTATTAACTACTTCCAGGAAATGTAGTACAAAGAAGATTAGTTCAAAACCTGGTCTTCTAAATGGAACCTAATTTGAAACATTCATTGTATTTGATTGTTGTAGACAAGAAGTTACCGCAATTAAATGGTACAAAAACCTCTCAAATTACCCTATAGCTTCCAGTGAAATGATATAAATCAAGGGGCAATTTTATAGGAACTAACAGTTTAATCAATTCGCTTAACTAGTTATTTACTGCACAAGTCTTACCAACATTTACTAAAAAACACAGGAATAAGGATTATTTACATTAGCTGATATCTACAACAATGCTCAAGCAGGCTCGTACATAGTACTGATGTTTAGCTACTAATTTGAGCCATTCCATTAGCACCACTGTTCAGACATCTCCCCTTGAGGAAATGATATTAAGTGCATTCATTGAATTAATAGTTAATTCCAGGCTCATTACCATTTATGAAACTTTTTCTAAATTTATCACCTCCCGTGGTGAGAGGCAACATTATTTGAAAGTTAGAAAACAAGACAGAAAATAACATTTTCTTTGATTAATTGTGAAATTAATACAACTCATTTGGTTTACTGTATAAAATAGTGTACATTCTTCACGGCCTTGGAAAGGTCAAGTGTTTTCAACACACAATGTATAATTCTGATAAAGTCTGCAACTAGATATGTTCCTTGATGCAATCACTTTGAGCAACTAAAAGGTGATTGTTCTGGAAAACTCAACTTAAAGTTAAAACAAAAACAGCTTAAGAGCATCTGTCTGATGCCAAAATGTGAAAAAGATACCCAACATGGACTTTTAAAAATATATATCAATCTGTCTCAGTGCTCCATATCATATGTTATAGAGTACGCTGTTGCAGAAGGACAAACATAAAACATTCGTCCAGAATTTGCAGGAATACAGTGGTGCCTGAACAGTAGATACCAATCAAAAAGTTGGCGAGGAAGAATTACAAATCAACAGAAGTGTTGGATAAGTTACAATGGTCCATCAATAGCTTTACAAAAATGGCTTTTAAAATTTTAACTTCCCCTTGATTTGTATTAATTTCTTGCAAATCTTTTTAATCAACCTGTTCAGACACATTATGACACCCCTCTGGAGCAGGTGGGACTTGAACATGTTCTTCTGGTCCAAAGGTAGAACATTACCAGTGTGCCAAAACAGCCCCATCAATTTCTTGTATTTGCACATTCATTACTTTTTAAGCTCATTGTAGAACATTTAATAATTAATAGTTGTCTTTTCATTGAAGTGTACTAATGCCATTAATTAGTAACAATCAAACTCTGATCCTGAATACCACAAAGTGTAGCTTTTCACTGTTACATGTAGTGAAATGTTCTGGGGAGATTTTTTAAAATCTCCTCCTCTCTCTATCAATCTAATCTTACTATCTGATTTATCTTTCAATACCCAAGGTAACATTTAGTTTATCCACTCTAATTTATTCTTCTAGTCAATTCCTTTACTTAATATTTCTCAATATTTAATTCACACTGGTTAAGTAGTAATACTGTTAGGTCTATTGTTCACAATTGTTCCTGTTGGTGTTTCTCAGACATTACTAATTTGCACTTCCAGTAACATACAGGGCAAAAAGAAATTTTGAGATGTGGAGTGCAGAAAACAAGTCTGAACAACAATCATGCAATGAGATGAGCCACTGCAGCAAACTATAGGCATTATTTTGTGGATGTGGACCATTTAAGCAGAAGAGAGGTACAATTGCTTTGCCTGTTTCAAATGACTCTGCTATACCTTACAGCTAAATATACAGCACAAGATCTCGGATTTGTTGGAGGTATTGCAATTAAGAATCTGCAGACAATATTGATCCAATATTTAGCACAAAGAAAAACCTACATTGGACTGCATATAAAAAATTATCTTTTATAAATCAATGGTAAATATTTGATAATGCTGTGAAATTTTATTCACATTTCAGCTACTGTATTCTCATGAGTTTCAGTGTATCAAATATCTGCATTCAATGGCAAAATAATTCATTAAAATACAGAGATTTGGATTAATAATTATCTGCGGGTCTCCCGACAAATATCATGATGAATCAGGGAGCAGGGGTTAGTCAATATCTAGGGAAGCTGCAGCTAAGTGCATGAATACATAAATAAATTTGCAGAATGGTCACAGTAATTTCAAAAACATGGAGTATTACACTTTACCAAGACAGACAATATCATATTTGGAAAATTAGGATCTAAATGAGGCTTGGGAGGAAAGCAATTTGGATTGTTTGATTGACTGATTGATTTACTGTCATGTGTACCGAAATACAGTGAAAAGCTTTGTTTACGAGCAGAACAGGCAGATCACAGCAAGGAAAGGATGTACAGATCAAAAAGGCTTGAGGCATACAGGTTGCATCATTTGAGGCTACAGTCCATTCAACAGTCTGATAGCGGCCGGAAAGAAGCCGTTCCTGAACCCGCTTGTGCGTGTTCGGGCTTCTGTATCTGAGCACATGTACAATCAGTAAAAATATTAACACAGACTAATTAGATAATAATAAAGGCAAATTATGAAGAGAGCTCCTTCAGATGTCAAAGTGAAAAACAGGCAATTCATACTAAAACGTGTATTGACTTATGCTTGAAATACCATTTCCTGTCTGGTTGCTAGGATGCAGAGACACTTCAGAAGGTGCAAAAGATCTACAAGGATGAAGTCAGAATTTCAAGGTTATACGCATTGGAGATAATGAACAGGTTGAATCTCTTCCCTCTCAAAAAGGGAAGGCAATGGTTGACCGACTAAAGGCCTTTCAAATTTGAAACAGTTTTGATATTATAGTCATAAAAGAGTTTCTACCCATGGGAGTCAAAACAAGAAACCATAAATATTGGAAGTCACTAACAATTTAAACAGAGAATTCAAACTAAATTTTTATCCAGACAGGTGAGATTGCAGAATTCATTCCCCACAGGGAATGCATATTATAGGTTTACTTAAGAGAAATCCATGTAAGAATGAAGAAATAGAGGGTTATGCAGGTCAAACTAGACAGGAAAAAGGAAAGAAGGAACAAAAACAGCAGTTGCTGGAAAAGCTCAGCAGGTCTGACAGCATCTGTGGAGAAAAGAATCAGAGTTAATGTTTCGGGTCTGGTGACCCTTCCTCAGAACCATATTTATGGTTTCTTGTTTTATGACTCCAACGGGTAGAAACTCATGACTTTAATATCAAAACTGTTTCAAATTTGAAAGGCCTTTAGTAGGTCAACCATTGCTTTCCCCTTTTGAGAGGGAAGAGATTCAACCTGTTCATTATCTCCAATGCGCATAACCTTGAAATTCTGACTTCATCCTTGTAGATCTTTTGCACCTTCTGAAGTGTCTCTGCATCCTAGCAACCAGACAGGAAATGGTATTTCAAGCATAAGTCAATACACATTTTAGTATGAATTGCCTGTTTTTCACTTTGACATCTTGAGAAAGGAGCTCTCTGCATAATTTGGCTTTATTATTATCTAATTCTGAGGAAGGGTCACCGGACCCGAAACGTTAACTCTGATTCTTTTCTCCACAGATCCTGTCAGACCCGCTGAGCTTTTCCAGCAACTGCTGTTTTTGTTCCCGATTTAAAACATCAGCAGTTCTTTCGGTTTTTAAAAGGAAAGAGGGTTCAAGTACACCTTGAACTGGTTGGGTCAAATGAACTGTCACTGATGTAAATTCTATATAATTTTCATACCTTCTATCTTTCCTCCTTTCATCCATTCGTTTGTCCAATGCAGCATAGATTGCATCAGCTTCTTCATCGTCTTTCTCATATGGACCACTGGAGAATAAACTTCCAGCATATCCATTAAACTTAAAAAGAAAATAATTTCTTTAACATCTCCAATATATCAAGTGAAAACCATCAGCTAATAAGACAAGATTTATAGTTTGTGCTTCATTGTGTAGGCAAGAAAGAAGAATGCTGAATGTACAATACTTCCACTTAAGTATGTCAATGTTGGTAGCAAATGAAACTGAATTTTCATTCAAAGTTGTAACTGAAAACCATCTAGAAAACATTAAGAAAGTCATTACGGATTCGGAATTGATCATATGTGATAAACCTTATTGAATACTTCAAAAAGAATTTTAAAAAGTAGATAAGGGTAATGCTTTAGATGTAATATGAAGATAAAATATTATGGAAACTAGAACAGAAGAACATAGTAGGAGCAGGAGTAGGTCATTCAGCCCCTTAAGGCTGCTCCACCATTCTGTAAGAGGATGGCTGATCTGCCCTTGATTTCAACTTCTCTTTCATACCAGCTCTTTGTGAATCACAACTCCACGATATTAGAGAAAACGTCCATTTTAAACACAGTGATCTGGCCCAGAGTATTGTGGACGTCAGCGAATTCCAAAGATTAACTACCCTCCAGGAGAAGGAATTCCTTTGCATTTTATCTGCTGCTGGTTTATATAAAAGAAAATCCCAATTCTCTCAATGCCTTAATTTTGGATTGGTGTAACAACTGTTTATGTTTCCGTAGTTTTGACTGTGGACTAAAATAGGAAAAGAACTGTTTTAAAAACCAAGGGTTGTTGAAGGATTGCTGCACTTTTCAAAAGCAAGTAACCTGACAATCATTGTAAATACTGTTTACATAGCTGTTGGCTCAAACAGTATGGAAGACAAGTCCACGCACAAGCTGGAGCTATGGGGTGTGTATGAATAGTGCTTTAACTGGGAACAAGTAGCTGATTGGTCTGTGGGCTTGCGAGTAGTTATCGATGATAAAGACCTTTTGACTGCCACCAACCATATGGTTGGCTCCCAATTGCTGACCAGCTTGGGGAGATGTGAATGTTTTAGCAGAAACCATTGGACCTCGAGCGAAGAAGGAGCTGTTTTTGCTCTAGTGAAAACACATTAAGCCTGAGGTTATTTCTCCTTTCCAGTTGCAGTAAGCTGTGACTTTTAATTCATAAGTCAAAGACCTTTATAAATGTGAACCCCGTGCCTCCTGCAAACAAGTGAAAGTATCTGGGAAAGGGAGATCGAGAAGCAGCGTTCTGATCAGCAAAAGGATCTTTTCAACTACGCTGAAGTACTGGGACCAGTGAACTGCCTTCCAAGATTTTCGCTCTGGCCATAATACCCTTGTTTTTACTTGCGTGTCTGTTATCATGTGTGTGTAGAGGGGAAGTTTATAAAGGGTCTTGAGTTTTAACTAGGAAGAGTTGCATACCAATAATTTATAATTGTTTATCTATAGTCAGAATCTGTTTATTTGTAGCAAATAGCCATTTTGTTAGGTACAGAAACCTGGTCCATTGCTTTGTCAACTTGGATCTGAAACTGGGGAATTCTGTGCTGTTTAAAATCTTTAATTTTTGCGATGACCCCAAAAATGGCAGGCTTGATTTCCTGCAAGCTACCCCACTGATATGTTTCTATAGCACCTTTGTTAACCACATGTAATTCATTCTTGAGTCCTTTTCTCAGAATAAATTTTGCCCAAGTGTAATGAAATACCTGCTTCAATATATTTCACAGCTTGACCACTGACCTTCCACCTAGTCTATTTTCCAGCTCACCCTACATAAATATTTTTTCATACTTCTGTAACTGTCCTTATTAATTTGAAAACACTAGTTTGATACTTCAGTTGCTTTCCCACAAACTGGATTTGAAATTCTACCATATTGTGATCACTAATCCCCCCAAAGGATACTTAACTACAAGATTTCTATTACTCCTACTTGATTACACATTACTAGATCTCACATGGCCTGTTCACAGGTAGGTTGTGCAATGTATTACTCTAAGAAACAATCCCTAATGCACTGTACAAATTTGTTTTTCATGTAACCCTTCCTCATTTGATTTATCCAATCAATATTTAGATTAAAATTAACCCTAACAACTGTAGTGGTCTTCTTACACACCTCCACTATTTACAAATTTATATTTTGCTCTCCAATGAGGCAAATCCTCAGGCGCCTTTGGACCACTCCCACTTGCGACTTCTTTCCCTTGTTATCCCTTATTTCCACCCAAACTGATTTCACATCATGTTCTACTGCATCTATATCACAACTCACCACCTCACTAATTTATTAAAAATACTACCCCAACTCCTTTTCGTCTACTTTCTGGACCATCAAATATCATTGAATACTGAATTCAGGTGACAGCAATATTTGAAAGACTTTAAAGCATATAAAGGTCAAAACTTTAGAAGTCATCCTACACAAATGGCAGTAAAGTAGTGGAAAGCTAGCTATGGAATGAATCAAAATAAACACTTGCAAATGGCTTACCACACCAAAAATGTACTATTCTGATCATAACTTCTCATTTTCCTTCATCTTCTGAAGCAAACATGATATTTTTAACTTCATATTAATATTCTTAAACACAAATGTATTGTTTATTACCTCATCATAGTTAGTGTCATTCAAATCTTCGTCGTCATCATCTGCCTGATTTTTTTTCATTTGATCACCTACAGTTCTTTTTCCTGGGGGGGCATGGCGGTCATCAACTGGGTCATTGGCATCTCGAGCAGGACCAATATCAGAACGTGTTGTGAAACCAGTAGCACTGGAAAAAGGAGAGGATTTCATTGAGCAAAGAGGTCACAAACTAATTTACTGCTCCTGTTGAAACTACAGTGGAACTGCAAAAGCTTTTCTTCTCCTGGGTATCAAATTAACTAGATTCTTCACTGTAACAGTAGACAAGATATAGTTCAATGATTTTGTCTCGAGTGATCAATGTAGGCTGTAAGTCATGCAAGCAGCTTTTTTTTGTAACAAAAGTAATGCTTTATCCGTTGGGAGAGGTGTTTTACTTGCAATTTTATTTCAACTGGGCATGTTTTCTGCACAATATATTTAATAATTACACATCTGTATTTACGTTATTAAATACCGCACACTTTTTAAAGTGATCCTTTGCTCCCTGGAGTACACACTGCCATTCTGCAATATTGAGAAATCACAATGCAGCTAAGTTCAAATGAATCTGATTATCAAACTCATGAAATCCACACAACTTAATGCTATTTATGGTTATATCTACTTCTGTGCTATTAAATATCTTTGCATAGGATGCACTCTTCTTTTAAATTGCCATTGTCTTTTGCTATATGATTTGCCACATTGAGACTGCTGTAGGGTTTTGAACAAGTATCTTGCAAATGTTGCTACAATAAAATTCCAAGTAACATGCAGGGGGATGACACTGTGGCTTTGGAGCATATGCATCATAAAAAGTCAGCACAACTTCAGTCTGAACTAAGCCAGAGGAAAGCACAGCTTTAGCATAGGCAAGACTAGAGACATTAAAGTAGAATTGATAAAATTAATCAAAACACTATAAAGATAGCAAGGCTGGTGACGTATTGCAGGTGTAGAATGTGGGAGCTTGTGGACACTAGCAAGATCAAAAACATTTGTAGCTCAAGAAACTTGGGTTCATAGCAAATAAGCTGAAATCTGAGCCTCGGATACTATCATACCTCAGGAAGGAGGAACATCAAATAGACATTTTATTCCAGGAAGTATTCAGACCTAATTCTGCATTGATCCACAGTCGGGGAAAAAAAAAGTACAAATTCATGAGGCAGGTATGCCGACCGAGAAGCAGAAGTGTTGAAACATCAGCCTTTGTAATTTTCAACAGGTTCAAGGTTCTTGCAGCTTGCATGATGGAATAACGAACTGATAACAGCACCATGATACACAGAAGTGATTCAAATGATGGCAGTAAATAGGAACGTAGTGGTAGTACGGGACATTAGAGACAGGGAGTCTGATATAGTTCTTCGTAATTAGGAATGAGAATCCTTGAAGCTGTGTTACCTGCCCAGTGCCAGGGTTTGGGACATCTGCTCTGGCTGAAACATAACCTGTCTTTGAAGACGCAAGATCCTATTGAAGTGGTCCATATAGGTTAAAGGATAAGATGAGAAAGAGAGGTTCTGCACAGGGAGTATGAGGAGCTAAAGGCTAAATTAAAAAATCATAACATCAAAAGAACAGATGCAAATTAGTTTAGAGTAAATCAAATTAGGGAGTTGATAATATGGCTCAAAGATTACTTTCAGAGAAATGAGTTTCAATTAATGCGGCACTGGTGTCAATATTATGTAAAGTGGGATCTGGACCATTGGAATGCCTTCACTCGAATTGTCTTGGGACAGTGCTCTGCAAATTATATACTTGGCCAGTTGAGAGGGCTTTAAACTAAATAGTGAAATAGATTTGGCAAAATTAGATTAAAGGTAGGTTGTGCTTTGGGACAGTTTCTTAAAGCAGCACATTTTACAGCCAACCAGACATCAGGCTACTCTGGATCAATTAAGGTAATGAAGACTGGAAATAAAGACTGAGTTTGCTAAAGCCATCTGGATAATCAGATTATGACGGAAGTCATTAGAGATGCAGTGGAAGATATTTAAGGAAATACTTATAACACACAGTAAAGATATATTCCATAAGAACGTCTCTAGGAAAGAAATGCATGACTTGTGACTAATGGGGCAGCACAGTGGCTAGCACTTCTGCCTCACGGAGCCAAGGACCCGGGTTCGACTCCAGCGTCGGGCGATTGTCTGTCTGTGTAGAGTTTGCACATTCTCCCCATCCCTGCGTGGGTCCCCTCTGGGTGCTCCGGTTCCCTCCGACAATCCAAAGATGTGCAGGTTAGATGGATTAGCCATGCTAAATTCCCCAAAGCATCCAGGTATATGCAGGTTAGGTGGATTAGCCATGGGAAATGCACGTTTAGAGATAGAGCAGGGGGCTGTGTCTTGTTGGGATTCTGTCTAGAGGGCCACTGTGGACTTGATGGGCCGAATGACCTGCTTCCACATTGTAGGGATTCTATGATTCACAATAAGTGTGTCAAATTCAAAGAAAAAAAAATTAGTCATAATCATAAGATTGTCTGCTGATCTTCATAGTCTGAACGATGATAGAAAGGAAAAAGGAACCTAGAGAATGAGGAAAGCAAGCCGCTGGAAATATAAAAACAGATGGTTCGACTTTCTACAAGTATTTGAGAGAGTCTGGAGAAATTAATAGTGGGATAAAAGAAATTATGGATGCATTGAACAATTATTTTGTGGCTACAGGTAGTTCTGCTATAACACATGTTTTGCTCACACGAATTGATGAATAATGGACGCTGTTTGGATAATGTGAACATTCTGCTGTACAGGTTAAGCGATTTTTCTATAGTGATTTCCCTATAATGCGATTTTCTATGGCGCGAGGTCACACAAGAACGCAACTATCATATTATAGGGGAACTACCTGTATATCCATTGTTGACAACATATAGCTGGCTCTGCTATAACATTATAGCTGTGTTTCTGCGTAACATTGCGTTATAGAAAAATCGTGCTATAGAAATAACAGGGCCTATGGGGAAAAACAGGTTAGGGGCAGACTACCAAATATAATCACTCAAAAATTGCTCTAAAATCTCTCAAAAGCCTAACACAAAGGATAGCACAGTTTGATTAAATATTTATTCATATCTAATAATGAGAAAAGTAAAGTTAACACCTTACCTTGAAAAAATGCCAAGATGACTTGATGGGGGAGGAGGTTTTGAAGTTGCTCTGTTGTTAATGCACTGGCTGAGGGTCACCATCAGCGTCAGGTACAGTTGTAGTTGCAGGGTTTGGGTAAAAAATAGTTAATCCAGAAGTGGATGGCTGTGGTTCATTGTCTTCTGACTGTTTGTTGGTTGGCTTAAAAAAAAAGACATCCAGTTTTTGCTGCTTTGCCCTTGTTCTTCTTTCATGAAAGCTGTTCATTGGGTGCCAAATAAGATCTTATTCCATGAACTGCTGCCCTGCTGCGTTATTCATTGTATTTGTTGTCCTACAAGAGCTCCAACTGCTTCTCAATTTCCCTCAGGATAGAAGACAAAACAGAAGTGAAACCTCTCGTAGTGCTCCATCCTGGACTACTACTACTTCATCTCCAGCTTCCACTTCCCCCTCAGCAACAAGTTGTTGTAGATCAGCTGTAGAAAGGTCTTCACAGTGGGACTCAAGCAGCTTTTCAACATCCACTCTCCACATCTTCAAATCCAACTTGCTTCGCAAGATCAACAAATGTTCTTTGATTCTTGGGAGCTCCTCTGACAGATCAAAACACTTAAAATCTTAAAATCTGGGAGAAGCTTCCACCAAACTGTACGCAAGCAGTTGTTCCCGACATCATGCCAGGCCTCCATGATAATGTCAATTGCGCTCTTGATGTTAAAGCTCTTCCAAAATTGAAGAACACTGCAGCCACTGAGGGGGATAAGGACAATCAGTCTCTTAAATAATAAGCTTTACAAGCTGCTATTGCACCCAGGTCCATGGGTTGAAGGAGAGAGATTGTGTTTGGGGGTAGAAATAGCACTTTGATGTTTTTAGAAAGTTCACCATTGATGGGAGGATGGCTTGGTGCATGATCCAGGATGAGGAGAATCTTGAAATCCAAATTTTTTTTTCCCCCCTGCATTTGAAAACATCTTCCTAAACATCAAAAAAAGGTCAGAAAAAGTTTGCCCCATCATCCAACCTCTTTTGCTTAACCTAAAGGAGATGCCTAGAGTAGACTTAAGGTAACCTTTCAAGGCTCACGGGTTGGTAGAGTGGTATACCACCACAGGCTTAAGCTTTAAGTCTCCACTGGCAATGATATCCAGCAGCACAGTCATATAATCTTTTGCCACCATAAAGCCTGGGCGTGTGCTTCACTCATAGAAATGTGGGTTCTTGATGGCATTCGCTTCCAGTATAAACCGGTCTCATTCAAATTGAAAATTTGACCTAAGTCGTAGACTTTCTCGTCAATTAATTTTTTTCACTATGGGAGGAATCACTTTTTCATTTGATCTTCTATCCACACACTTAGAAGCCACTCCATCTCCAAGTTCCTTTGTCTGTGACCTCTCAGATTTGTTAGCACTCACAGACGTGTTCCAGCAATACAGCTTGCTTTAATCTTTTCTGCATTGTCTCTAATAGTGTGCAAAGTAGTCTCCTTTATTTCTGTTATGTGAACTATATCACATGTTGTCTCATTATGCTCAAAACACTTTATAACATCTAGCTACCTTTCCAGTGTTCCAGTGTTATAGGCTTTCTTTTGTGTTCACCACCCACAATTTTACCACCAGGACGCCTCTTGCTAACATTCTTGTCACCTTGCCCTCACATTTTTGTGGGTAACACAGCAGAATTTGCAAAAAAAACCGAAAATCATGGAGTACCGTACCTCTTACAGAAGTGCCTCACGGCAAAGTCTGCACAATGATCACGTGATGCCAGCACAGAGACTCTTTCAGCGCTAACACTGCGCATTCTCAGGACAAAGCCTGAGAACCGATCATTTGATGTCAATGTATACTCCTGCGGCACTGATGGAATTGCACCATAGCCAACACAAGTTCGCATTTTAGAAATAGCGCTCCCCTATTCATCAGTCGCATTATAGCTAATTTGTTTTTCTGGAACAGGTTATAGCAGAACCAACCGCTGTGCCACATCAATGGTTACTTCACAAAACAAGAACTATGAATACAGATGGTGACTTTTAACATAAATATAGGATTGATTACCCAACAAGAAAGACAGTAGACATAAATGGATCATTTTTAGGTTTGCACAACATATCAATAGCGATCAGTTCTGGATTGCATCTATTTACAATTACATCAATGACTTGGCTGAAGGGACCAACCTACGTTTATTAAAATTGTTGTTCATACAAAGATAGGAAGGACAGTAAGTTATAAAGAGGACATAAGGAGTCTGAAAAGGGATATAGATAGGTTAAGTGAGCGGGCATGGATTTCGCAGATACAGTATAAAATGGAAAAATGTGAACTTTTCCACTTAGCATCAAGAATGGAAATGCAGAATATTATATAAATGAAGCAGATATGTAGAATTTCGCAGTACAGCACAGTCCATATATCTTTGTACATGAATTACAGAAGGTTAAAACGTGGGTACAGCAAAAGATTAGAAAGGCAAATGAAATGGTTTTGTTTATTACAAAGACATGAATTATAAAAGTGGGGTGGGGGGCTTGAACTTTGTACAGGCACTGGTAAGACCAGATCAGAAGTTTTGGCGTCCTTATTTAAGGAACGATATAACTGCATTAATAGCACAGCAGAAAAAGTCCAACTGGTTGATTCTGGGATAAAGGAACAGTCTTATGAGGAAAGATTGAGCATGTACACATTGAAGCTTAAGAAGAATTAGAGCTGACCTCATTGAAAAAGAAATTAGGAATATTTCGTTAGAGTTATAGAGTGTTCGTGAGGCCACACTTGAAGTACTGTATACAGTTCTAATTTAAGAAAGGATGTACGTGTTCAGAGAAGGTTCATTTGACAGCTGGGTGTTAATGGGGGATGAACTGTTTCTCATGGGAAAAGGTTGAGCAGGTTGAGGCTATACCTATTGGACACCAGAACAAATTATTGAAATGTACGAGATCCTGAGTGGACCTGATAGGGTGGACATTAAAAGGATATTTTACTTTTTTAGGAGAGACGAGAACTAGGAACACAGTTTAAAACTAAAAGGGTCTCACATTTAAGACGTAGGAGGAATTTTTTTTTTTTAAAACAAGGGTTGCCAGCCTTTAGAACTATTTCTGAGAGCAGAGGAGACAGGATTACTGACCACTTTTAGGGCCAAGATAGACAGATTCTTAATTAGGGAGTCAATTGTCATAAAGGAGGTGAGAATGTGGAGTTGAGCTCATGATCAAATTATTCAATGGCAAATGAAAAAATTATTCAATGCTATAAGCATTAAAGGGCACAATCCTGCTCCTAATTCACATATGTATATGTATGTCCTATGAAACATAAAAAATCTCGAGGGAATGGTTCCTCTTGTTGTAGAGACTAGAATTAGGGAATGTAGTTTAAAATACGATGTTGCCTATTTAAGAATGAGAATTTTTGTTTTTCTTGGTGGGCCATTACTCCATTCAATTCTCTTCCACAGAGAACAGCGGAAGCTGGATCATTGACAACGTTCAAAATCAAGTTAAATACAATTTGATCGACAAAGGAATCAAGGGTTATATGGTAAACAAGAAAGTGGAAATGAAATTATCATCCGATTAACCACTGCCTTATTGAATGTCAGAGCAGGTTTAAGGAGGTGAATGGCCTACTCCTAAATCATCTCCTTCACAGAATCAACTCTTATGTTGGCTGATGTCAGGTCAGGAAACAATTGGATAGAGCGACATTCAGCACTTCTGGATTATAACATTAAATCCCACATATGGTCCTGACAGGTCAAATTACTCAACATTACCTTGTAAACTTTTGATAAGTTCATTAACATTTGTTCAGGACCTGAGGACATCTTGAAAAATATAGTGAAACAAATTCACCCAACATCTTTCAGGCATCATCTGGGCTCAGGGCTTTGGTATCTGAAACTGATCCTCATTCAAGCTGCAATATGTTCCACTTTCTAGCTGCTTGGTGGCTTCACAGCTTGCAGCTCCTTGTTGCAAAGTGCGGCCACAAGGAAATATAGGATAGGACGAGGTGTTGCTTTATCATACTGTTGAATATTGTGTTATTTTGTTTAAGAAGACAAAGTACCCATCTGACATTTTTGCATAAATCAGGGTTTTTAAGGACAGGTTGATTCCGGGGTGGCAGGACTGACGTATGAGGACAGATTGACTAGGTTAGGATTGTTTGTGCTGGAGTTCAGGCAAATTTTTTTTTTTTTTTGGGGGGGGGGGGGAAGCTGTCTCATAGAGACGTAAAATTCGAACAAGACTAGATAACAGCTGATGCAGGGAGGATGTTCCCGATGGTGAGTGTGTGCAGAACGAGGGGTCACAGTCTGAGGATTCATGGTAGGCCATTTAGGGTAGAGATGAGGAGACATTTCTTCACACAGTGATGATCCTGTGGAATTCATTACCACAGGAAGTAATTGATGCCAAAACATTGAATGTATTCAAGAGGCGGCTAGTTATAGCACTTGGGCAAA